TGTCAAAAAGAGGGAAATGGAGTGTTACTCTTGTAGCCAAAGGAACCAGCAACTTCTGGACCAAGATAGCAAGTCTTCAACCTCTAAAAATGAGCTCCAAGGTGCTTGGATGGATGATGGAGAGGTTAGGCTAAGAGGTGTAGTGCAATGGTGCAAGATCAAGGGACCTTTGGAGCTAAAATGGAGAGAAATAGAGAGAGAAGTGTATGTATGCCTTGAAGCAAAATTCTGAGCCAAGGCCAAGGAGGGGAGGCCCTTCCTTTATATAGGATAAGGTCTAAAGCTTCTCAAATAATCTTAAAAGCTAGGCCAAACATCCTCCATACACGTGTATGGAGGATGCACCAAATGCCTCCCAGCTGGCACAGCTGGAACACACTCAGAGAGAGGAAAAAGCAGATGGCTAGTGGTCGGCCGACCATGCCCCTTGGTCGGCCGACCAGGTTCAAAAGGGTCAAGCTCAAAAGGTGGTCGGCTAGCCCATATTGGTGGTCTCCCAGGTAAATGCAACTCAATGGTGGTATGGGAGACTAGAAAATATGGCTCAAAAGTGAGGGAGACCACTCACCTGTCAAGAAAATCGGCCGACCGGGAAAAGGTGGTCTCCAAGAATAAAAGGTGGTCTTCCACCCTACTACCACCTTCCTAACAATGAAACTAGGGTCCATGCCAAAAATGAACCCACACCGATGCGAAACGAAGGTTCGGGGGCCAAAACGCGCAGCCGGGGCCCCGAAAACTGACTATTAAGCATTGAAAGTGGCGTGCGACCACGAAGGTGGTCTCCCAGGCCACAGTGTCCCTCTAAGGAGAGGAAACAAAGTGTGTGCCAAAAACCGGAGCAAACGGAGGTAGTTAAGTGGTCCCGAACCAAAGCACACGGCCGACGGCTCCGAAAATCAGAAACTCGTCTCCAAACAGGAAAAATGACCTACGACCACGAAACGTAGCCTACGGCCACTGAGAGATGGTCTACGAGACCTCTCCCTCCCTCCAGGAAGAGAAAACAGAGAAAACAGGACTTGGTTCATAAACCGAGGTAAGGCACAAAAAGGTTCCGAAGCCCGGAGGCAAGGCTCTCAGCCGAGACTTTGCAACCTCAGAACGAGCACAATATGCAACATCACCGAGCGCTCAGTTGGTGACGTCTGAGTCTTAAGGTCGGTCAAAAATGGGGTGTCTACACATGCATGCAAGAATGATAGGCTCCTTTGATAGGCCATAAAGAGGGTTGTTCTACATGCAAGATGGACATCCAAAATGACAAAACCACCTTTGGAAAGAGGTTATGTAGGCCCTAAAGCTCACTGAAAAGGGCCTGAAATGTGGCTTGGAAACATGCAAGTATAGGCTCCTTTGTTAGGCCAAATATGCTAGAAAACAAAACAAGGGGTGAGAGGGTCACCCCTCTCTAATTTTGGTGCTCAAGAACACATAATAACCACTAAAAATCTGCTGTATTTCAGTGGTCATAAGGGCCAACAAAGCTCAACACAAAGACCTTAATGCATGACTCAAAACAGAGGAAAATGAAGCATGGAAGGGGGTAGATGACCCCCAACAGAAAAATGATCTTAAACAAACATGTTAAGGACCTCAAAATAAGACCTTTTTCAATTTATGAAAAAGCCCAAATATGATTGAAAATAGAGCTAAGATATGAAGCAAAATAAACACCAAAAGGGGGAATAGGGTGTTACCCTTGTAGCCGAGAACTCCAGCAGCTTCTGGACCAAAAAAGTAACTCCTTAGCCTCTGAAAAAAAGCTCCAAGAACCTTAGAGTGATGGTGGAGGGGTTAGGCTAGGAGATGGTATGTAAAGGTGCAAGAACAAGGGACTTTTGACCACCAAATAGAGAGATATAGAGAGGGAACTGTGTATGCCTTAGACAAATTTTCTGAACCTTTGCAAATGAGGGAGAGGGTTTCTCTTATAGAGGAACAAAGGTCCAAGCTTCTTCACGAAGCTTGTGCAAAGGTCCAAGCTTCTTGAGGAAACTAGAGCAAAAGGGGTCAAGCTTTTTGAGGAAGCTAGAGCCAAAGGGTCAAGCTTCTTCAAGAAGCTCAAAAAAGGTTCAAGCTTCTCTTAGAAGCTTAGAGCAAAGGGCTAAGCTTCTTTAAGAAGCCAAAACAAGGTTGCCAATCCTCCATACACGTGTATGGAGGATGCAGTCTGTGCCTTCCAGCTAGCACACACTTACAGAGACAGAAAAGGGGGAAGTAGGCCGACTAGTTCAAGTGGTCGGCCGACCACCTAGCCTAGTCGGCTAACCAGTTCAAAAGGGTCAAGTTGATGAATGGTGGTCGGCAGGCTCAATTAGTGGTCTCCTAATTCAATGCAAGCCAGTGGTGTGGTGGGAGACCAGCAATTGTGGCTCAAAAGTCAAGCAGACCAGCTACCTGATAAGAAAAATCGGCCGGCGGGGAAAAGTGGTCTCCAAGAAGAAAAGGTGGTCTCCCACCCTAGTACCACCTTCCAAACAATGAAAAAGGGGTCCATGCCAAAAATGAACCAAGACGGATGCAAAACGAGGGTTCGGGGGCCAAAACGCGCGGCCGGAGGCCCCGAAAACTGACTGTTAAGCATCGAAAGTGGCGTGTGACCATGAAGGTGGTCTCCCGGGCCACAGTGTCCCTCTAGAGAGAGGAAACAAGGTGTGCGCCAAAAACCGGAGCAAACGGAGAAAGTTAAGCGGTCCCGAACCAAGGCGCACGGCCAACGGCTTCGAAAACTGGTCTCCGAACGGGAACAGTGGTCCACGACCACGAAAAGTAGCCTACAGCCACTAAGAGATGGTCTACGAGACCTCTCCCTCCCTTCGGGAAGAGAAAATAGAACCTGGTTCACAAACCGAGGCAAAGCATAAAAGGGTCCTGAGATCCGGGGGTAAGGCTCTCAGCCAAATTTCGAAACTTCAGAACGAGCACAACATGCACCATCACCGAGTGCTCAATCGATGACGTCTGAGTCTTAAGGTCGGTCAAAAATGGGGTGTCTACAGTGTCACAGATTCAGACCCCGAGAAGGCTATACAGTGCGCTGCTAGAGCTTATTTGTTGTTTCTATTGAGATGTACACTCTTCAGTGACAAGAGTGGCGGCAGGGTTCCTGTTGTTTACCTTGGCTTATTGATGGATTTGGGATCCATTCATACTTACGCCTGGGGTGCTGCTACATTAGCATTTTTATACAGACAGTTGGGGTATGCTAGCCGGTCTGGGGTTAAGCAGATGGGTGGTTATATGACTCTTTTGGAGGCGTGGATTTATAAGAACTTCCAAGCATTCCGACCTCACCAGAACATGGGCTACAATGAAGACATGCCGCACGTGTACCATTGGGCATCTAGGAGAGAGGCGGGTTCCTTCATTGATTATTTGAAATCTTTGCGAGCCAAGCTTGACAGTTTGGTAGCTACTGATGTAAGTTTACTCATCCTGAGATAATTTTAACACTTTCCATTTATCTTACCGTTTATATACTTTAATTCAAAAACACTTTACATTTACAGGTTATTTGGGATCCATACCACAGCTGCAGAGACCGGCATCCATGTAACCAGGTTACGTTCTACCATGGATGCTTAAAGTGCTTAGACGTTGTCGAACCCTATCATCCAGATAGAGTTTTGAGGCAGTTTGGCAGGGTTCAAACCATCCCAGATGCACCGCTAGCTCCCAGTCGTGGTGCACGAGGCAACATATCTGCACGATATACCGTCATGTACAGATACTTGGATAGGATGTGGGAGGCTTGGGATAACCACGTGTTATCTGAGCAACGGAGGAGCACACCAGTTCGTTAGCCTTGGGAATGTGTACCGGGTTACATGGATTGGTATAAGAATATCACGCACCTATATGTCGAGCACACTGATGAACCGCGTGTCCATGACCATCAGGATTTCAGCGAACATGCGGATGTAATCTATTATCCTCTCTGATGCATATGTAACTTACTTTTTTTTTTTTTGATATGTTCCCTAAAATGTGATATTCTTTTCAAATGCAGCGTATTGCACATGCACTACAGATTTCACATCCTATTATTGACGCTGGTTATGAGGAGGGGATTCGACATCCTTATCGACTTTACCAAGCTATTGAGAGTATGACGCATGTCCTTGAAGGTCAGCACATTGACGAAGCTAGACCTAGTTCTGCTGGACCTACTTATACTGGAGGTCGCTTTCCATATTCGACATTGACATACAGTCGTAGGCCTAGGCATAGACATACAACTGATTCGTGACATGTTATTTGTTAGTTGATGAATTTTTTTTTGGTGATTTTTGTAAGATGATATTGTTGTAATGGTAACTGTGGTTAACATTTTCTTATTACAATGGAATGGCAACAATGGTATTGTAATGACATTGTAATGACATTTTATTATTAGAATGGAATGCTAATAATGGTCGTTGATTTTGTAAATGATATTTTCTTATTACAATGGAATGGTAACAATTGTTGATAACATTCAATCCACATTGCAAAACAGAACACATCAACATCAAAAACACATCCATTAATTTCTTCCATAATTCTAACATTGTCAAATGCATACATGTGTCATGCGACATCAACAACATCAAATGTCTCTCGAGTAGCTACATTATCATGAATAATGTCCTTGAAATGTTGAATGCGACGCACATATGCATCATCCCAGTTGACAGCGCAAGGGTGACGGTATTTTCTCCAATTAGTGGCTATAGGAGGAACTGGATGGCCTGGCTGCAACAAAACCTGCACCAAATATCAATTGACTTAGTGGTCATACCTCATAACTTCTTGTACATGCACAAACCCAATTGATAAGTTTCTGTTATACCTGAACGAAATGATTTCCGTTGACAAACCCAATGGCAATCTCACATCTATCAAGTTGAGGTACTGGCACTGTTCTAAGAGGTAAAAAGGTGAGACATTGCTGTAATGACAAGTGGTATAACACAAGATTGTAACATGATGCAACAAGTGCCCCATGTCTGGCATAGTCATCCAATGTGAGTATCCAGGATTGTCTTCAAAGTATGACAATATGCTTGTCAATTCTTCAAACTTTTCATAGGACCCATAAAGTGTAATGTATTCCTCTTTGTGTGTGTGCAGCTCACCCAATAAATCACGCCTAACCTGAGCCCAATCATCTTCTGTATGACCAATTGAAGCAGCTATAGCCCTAAAACCACAATTCCCATCTGCAGCTACATCCTTGACAAACTTAATGTATGGTTTCAACCCAGCAGGGAAAGCATCAACATATGCACCAGGTTTCACTGTTCTAGTAATATATACTTTCCCTTTTGGATTCACCTTCTCATTTCCCTTAACAGGTCACTTCTTCTTGGTTTACAGAGTAGAAGCTAATGTAGTGATTTGAGTGTCCCTAGGTGAGAAGGAATCATGTCCAGATTGCACTAACTCAAATGCACACGGGTCAAGACGGGTAGAAACATTGATCTTCTTATGATCCCGAGGACGTGTTTTGGGCTTCACCTCCGGCTTAACAAGAAAAGTGCTTCCCGAATATACAATCTCTTTCAACTTCTTCAAAAGCTCCAACTGCATGGTTCTATCACTTTCATTAAACTTGTTCACAAACAACTCTACTTCTGCAGGACAAGTCATCTCCGTTTCCTCTTCTTTCTTGCATATGGAGATATGAAGTTGCCTCCACTGTGAGTGTATGGTAGCAAGTGGTATTGGACGATCTTGTCTGATGTAGTCAGCAATCTCATGGGCACCAGGTAAACCATGAGTGTGGCAAAGGACGCATCCACAAGCTTCATCATCAATACCAATGGAATTGGCTCTCTTACTCTCTACAAGCAAATACTCCAATGCAGAGATAGACACATTACCCCGTAGCTCCCTGAATTGAGAAGGTTTAAATTAACGTTGCACAACAGTTAGACTTTCTCAAATGAAGCCTTGATATCAGTGTGTTGCAACTCAAGCAGACTGTGTATTTTCTCAAATGATGCCTGAAATGCGACTTGACATGAACCCAATTGTCTTTTAAGTTTTGCACGTGCACTCTCAGCCCTATTGAATTCAATGTAAGTCAAGTTAAAATCAAGTACATGGCACTTATTAATAACATATTGAAGAAAAGTAATCTTACCGGTTCGTTGTAACATTGCCACAATGCATACACATGTCTATCCATGCCACAAATTTGTCCTTGTAAGGAACCAACCAAGTAACTATGACGTATTTGACTGCATCAGGATAACTACTGAATTCCTTAAGTAATGATTTAAGACGCTCATCGTATTGAATTTCAGAAGATGAATACACTACAGAGTTCCACTCATGGTTGAACTTCTCCCATTTCTGCTGTGTCTCAAACATTTTCTTGCATTTGGTCAACACATTCTTACTGATATGCCAACGACATAATAAATGTCTGGCACTCGGGAATATCTTCTGTATGGCATTCATCAAGGCTAGCTTTCTGTCAGTAACAATAATTGTTGGCACAACAAACCCATCCATGACATCACGCAATGTAGCTAACACCCACGCATAGTTATCGACCCTCTCATACTGTAAGTATGCGAAAGCTACAGAGAATGTCATTTTAGTTTATGTCACTCCCACAATTTTAAGAAGAGGAAGCCGATATCTGTTGGTTTTATATGTGCAATCCATAATTAATATACGTGGGAAAGACCGAAATAAGTCCAAACTAGTAGGATGTGCCCAAAACAAGTTTGTCACAGTCATCGTGGACTCTTCAGACCAATGGCGCTCAATGTAATTATACTTGGCCAATTCACCCAATAAGTGTTGCATCTGTGATCTTCCAGCTCTCTGTACCACCCTGTTTCGATGGCGTACATTGTAAATGGTTTTAAGTGTGCTTACATTGAGGGCATCTCGCTGTTTCAAGGTTACTAGGATTTCTTTTGGCCGAACCATGCTCTTTGACATATCCATTAACAATGCTTTCTCATCCTTTGATAGCCTCCTCGCATATGAATGTCCCTCAAGGTGCTCCGCAGGTGGATGATTATGCAATCCACATACTACGGTCAATGTCCATTCATTATGTGTGGTAAACCTGTGAGCCCTCATATCAAAAGGACAACCACACTTCTTCGTACCGGTTATTCTAGATGTATTGTTGCCATCGTGTTTTAACTTCTTTGTTGCTCTATATTGGCCACTCCTCTCACAAGCAAGATACATCCTAGGTCTTTTTTCCCCTCCACCATAGTCTGATGTTTTGATTACAATGACCAAACCATTTCTCTTTCCAACTTTACGTACCCAGTTGAGCAATTCATCCTTACTTTTGAATACCTACAAAGTTAAATAAATATTATCAAACATTTACATTTGGTGAGCAATTCAAAACATAATCGTTATAATTTCGTAGAGTGAACTTGTTCAGTTGTGAATTGAATGGTGTAATCTAACACAAAATCCACGCAAACCTGACGTCCTTGAGTTGACACATATTCCTGCATGTTTTGTATAACATTACAAATTTTTAATGGCATTATAAAGATTAATTTGCAATTTGAGACTGTAAATTTGGTATGCAGTTTGCAAATTTGGAATATAAAATAGGAAAAAAAAATTTACTTCATTCGGAAGTAGTTGTCCGAATTTATTTTCAAATTTCGGAAGTTGAATGTTGTAAAAGTTAACTTTGTTTGGACAACAACTTCCGAATTTAAATACCTTGTTCGGACAACAACTTCCAAAATTTATTACTTTGTTCGGACAACAACTTCCGAAAATAAATAATTATATCGGTAGTAGATTTCCGAACCAAATAACATAATTCGACTCTGGTTATCCGAACGACGCTGGGAAAAAAAAAATGAAACTCACATTTCCTTCGCTCTGTTTCACATAAACACTTATTTGCTAATTTTCAGAAGGCAAATCCTCCATAACAATGATGAATGAGGAAGAAGCTACGAATGAGGAAGGTTGAGAAGCTACGAAGTTGGACCTTAATGGAAGAAGTTGAACTTGGAGCTTCAACGTGAAGTTTGGATGTGTGCATTGAGACTTTTGAATTGGGTAGATGTCTAAAATAGTAATTTCAGTTAGGGATAAAATTGTAATAAAATTAAATATCGTTAAGTGTGTGTATAGAGGGGATTAGGTGTGTGTAGATAGAAGCTCCCAATTCTTTAGGGAAAATTATATTAAAACCCTTCCAACTATCAATCATTTACATTTTACCCACTTAATATTTTAAATCCAACAATTATCCCCTCAAATTATTTAAATTTTTCTATTAAATATTTGGATGAAAAATTATCAAGTGCTGTACATATAATGATGATATTAAATTTTATGACCAAATTATCCTATTTTATCTTTCGTAAAAATTTAATATGTTCATCATGTACACAACACTTGACAATTTTTTATCCAAACATCTAACAGATGACTAACAGAAGGACTTAATATTCAAATTCAAATAGTTTGAGAGGGGTAATTGTTAGATTTAAAACATTATGAGGGTAAAGTGTAAATGATCGATAGTTTGAAAGGTTAATATCATTTGCCCTTGTTTTTAATTTAATTTATTTTTTATTTTATTCGTTGCACTCTATCTCATTATTTTTATAACAAGTTAATTCTATTTTTTATTTTATTTGTTGTACTATATCTCATTACTTTTATAACAAGTTAATTCTAATTAGAAAAAAAAAATTAATTTCAATTTATTTTTGTTTGGTTGAATTTTAAAATTTTATTTTGAAAAATTAAAAATTAATTTGACAAAAATAAATACAAAAAAATCTGCTTTTAAATTTTCAAAATTATTTTTTTACCAAAAAAACATCATATAAAAATGAGAAGCGTGAAAAGGTACAAAACAAAGAAAAAGAAAAAAAGAAAAAAAAAGAAAAAAAATAGAGATGAAAGGCTAAAATGGAGGGAAAGAAACAAGGTATTTTGGTCTTATAAAAATATTATTTAATTTGGACAGTTTTTAAGTTTGTATTATTTTCTATATAATTAGAGATAGTTGTACCTATTTAATGCATCTTTAACATATGCCCTTATTTGTCTTTAGTATCAATTTAATGCACGTAGTTTTAAATACATCAATTTTATCCTTAAAATTTTCACACTCTGTCAGTTAATATAATACAATTGATAAGGTCATCTTAAAATTTAGCTTGTAATTATGGGAGCAAACTAATCCATTTGCTCATCAAAATGGTCGTGGTTGACATTCAATTTGAAAATTGTCCAGCCCTTTTAAATGAATCATTTGCTTTTAAATTTTGTCTAATTTTTTAATAGATGTAATCGATTAGACTATTAAATTGACATAATGTGAAAAATTAAATGAAAAAATTGATACAACTAAAATTATGAAAATAAAAATTAACACAAGAAACGACTTACATGAATCATATATATAATTTACCCTATTTATTGTCTCGAATTTATCACTAATTTGAGAAAAGTAACTGGATTAAATGTTTCAATGGTTGGTTTGTCTAAGTAGGAGCAATGGGAAAAAACATAAATTTGGTTTATCGAAAAAAGTACGAATCCTTTGCCGTCCTTCCTTGCGGCCCTTTTTGCAGTGTCCCAAAACGACGCCGTTTTGAGACAAAATTTCCAAAAAAGTAAATAAATTAGAGCAACAGAGCAGAACCATCCTTCCCTTCATCTTCTTCTTTTTCTGGCTCTTCTTTTCTAGACTACCAGAGGTTTCTAATTACCAACTACATATTTGATTAAAATAATAAATGGAGTCATCAAAATAGACATAGGCCTTGTTTGACAAGGGCTATTTTAGCCTATTTTGGGCTAAAATTTACAAAAAGACAAAATAGCTTAAAATAGTTAATAAGACAAAATATCAAATCAAATCCATAATCATTTCATTTTTTCTCTCACAAACATTACATCTAACGAAAAAAATTCAACAATCTTCCTAAACACAAAAATTTTAGCCTACTAAAATAGCCAAAATTTAAAATAATCTACTAAAATAGCCAACTTTCCACACAAGGCCATATAATCTTGCTGGCTAAGTAACTAATAGTAAAGTCCCTTTATAAGAACTCATTAAATCCTAACACATAATCAACTTCAAAGTTTCAAATACATACAAACACACTCTTGAAAGTAAGAGCTCTAAATAACAAGTGTTGAAATGGCAGAACAAGTGAAGTTGTTTGGTGTTTGGAGAAGCCCCTTTGTTCGTAGAGTTGAGATTGCTCTGAAAATGAAAGGCGTCAAATATGAATTCATTGAAGAAGTCATGTCAGCTGGCCACCTCGCCCTCTCTGTTTGTTGCCTCTCTCTGCTCGTCTCTCGCCACCTCTCCTCTCTCACCTTGCCTTGCCTCCATCACCTCGATAGGAAACCACGTCGCTTGCGCAACCTTCTTCGTTCGTCGCCTCTCTGCTCGTCTCTTGCAGTGGGGCTAGGGTTTAAAAACGAAAAGGGGTTGAAAAGCAAAATAAGAAGAAAAAAAAATATATATATATATATATATATCTTAACTCATAAAAAAGTCATAAATAACACTTTATTGAATCAAAATTTCTCTTTTAGATAATAAAATTTTTGAAAATTGTTTGAGGGCCCGAAATCGGAGGCTCGAATTTGGATCGAAACTCAAAACGACGTTTTTTTGGGTTTTTTTTTTTTTTTTTTCTTCTTCTTCTTTTTCTTGCTTTTCGAATCAGAATACAGAGAGACAGAAAAGAGAGAGAGAAGGAGAAAAGAGGAAGAGAAGAGAGAAGGAAGGGGAAAGAGAGAGGGGCTGCGACCACCATTGTCGCCGCTACACCACTTCGTCGCCACCACTGCTACGACCACCACTGTGTGTGTATGTGTTTCATGAATTTAGCTTCCAGATCTGTATATCTGTGTGTGTGTATGGGTTTGATTTGTGTGTGTGTTTGTGTGTGGGTTTGATTTTCCAAATGTGTGTGGGGGGGAGGGGGTTTGATTTGTGTGGGTTTCTTCTTCTTCTTCTTCTTCTTCTTCTTTCTTCTTCTTCTTCTGTAATTTGTGTGTGGGTTTGATTTGTTTGGGTTTGATCTGACCTTTGTGTGGGTTTTTTTTTCTTCGTCGTTTTGTGGTTGTTGATCTTCTTTCTTCTTGTTCCTTCCTTCTTTCTTTCTTCTTCTTCTGCTTTCTTCTTTCTTCTTCTTCTGAGTTATGGAAAAGGAAGAAGAAAAGGGGCAAAAAAAAAAAAAAATTCCCAAAATGACGTCATTTTGGGATTTCGGCCCGCTCGAGCCACGAAAAATTTGAGTTACATAACAGGATTGTAACATAATATATACCTGGGTAGTTTGGTCTTTTTACACTAGTTTGTCATTATGGGCAAAGTATTTTAGCAGCAAACAAAGAAAATTCAAATTTAGATTTTTAGCCTAAACACCCTTAACCTTATTTTTATAACATAATTATACCTGTCCCTTGAGGTTTTAATCACATAACACTTTATTAAAAATTCATGAGTTATATGGATTAAAAAAAATGATACTATCATATCTTTTCAATAAAATATATATTTAAATTTATTTATTTCAATACCAATTTACCATCCGTGTTAGTTTTGATCACTTTGATTTTACTATTAAAAAAAAAAAAAGTGAGTGTAAATATACCAAACTTGTAAAGCTAATTGCATATATATTTTTTTTTTTAAACTTCAAGGGGGTGAGTGCATTTTAACATTATTTTTTGTAAATTACAAATATACTTCCTAAAATTTGTTTAAAACTTGAATTGTCCCTATAATTTATAAAATTATAACCATCCCCATTGTCAAAATTTGTAATTAATAGAATTAATTGAAAAAATGATTTCTTACTTCTTTCTTACACATTATTAAAATTACTTTAATTAGTAATTAAAATATATTTATGACATCATTAAATACTGTTAATTGACTTGATGATTTATTAATAAAATGAGTTATTTGTTATGTAATTAAAAACTTTAAGTGATGAGATGTAATTTTTAAAACCACAAAAAATAATTTGTATTTTAAGCAAATTTTAAGTAGTGTATCTATAATGAAAATTTTTAATATACAACTCTTTAAAAATGGTGTATCATACACACCCCTAGTTATATCATTTTTTTCTTTAGTTAAAACCAATTTTCTTGTTTAGTTATGATATTATTTTAGTTATGACTCATGAGTTATTTAGTTATGTTTTATGTTGTGTTTAGTTATAACATTTTTTTTTAATTATGACCCAAAAAATTAAAATTATGTCATTTTTTTAATTGTAAAATGCATATAGTACACACCCTTTAATGTTTTGCCATTTATAATATACCATATTTTTGTAAGGTTGTTGCTGGCTGTTGGTTGGTTTTGGCTATAACGTTTGTGAACACGGGTTAATAGAAGGTGGAAAAGATGAATTTTCTGACCCTTTTCAAAAAGCAGTGTTCGAGCTATTACAAAAATTTATATTCTATAAAAAAAAATTCAAAACAATTATTTATCAAA